GTGTGTGTGTGTGTGTGTGGTGCATAAATAAATATTGATCATCACTTGGCTTTGTGTTCGTTCATTCAAAAGATCTCGCTCGCATTGGGCCTGTAATGACCCAGTTTCATATTAAGTAAGAGTCCGCAGACCCAAACACACACTCACACATACACACTCACGCAGATAGCTGCGCATGTGTCATAAATATTTTCGAAGTTTAGCGGCTTTGGAGTAGAAAGCGATCCAAACTTGACTCGACTGTTACAACATCGACGCATCAAATTTAAAAAGCCAATTAAATTCAGCTCGTGAAAAGTTTCATTTTCAATATGTGCGTTAAATTAAAATTAGTACAAAGCTAGCTACTTCAATGCAAGCACACACACACGCGCATACACACGTAAACAAATCAAATCAACAAAAAAAAAAACAATCATTTCTTTTCTTTTTCTCTTCATTTCTTCAATTTTTGTTTGGCTTTCAGGTTAACAAACGTGCAAAAATGCATTTAATTGCGGCCACTTTTGCGTTCGCAAACTACGTTGAATGATTTATAAATTTTTAAATGGTTTTTATGGTCACTGGCCAATGACCAAACGGCCAGCTCGCCTTCCAGCTAGCCAGCTAGCCAGGCAGCCAGGCAGCCAACCAGCCAAGCAGACCGCCAAGAAAATGAATAAGTAAATAGGTGTCCAAAATATTTGCGGATATCATATGGTTATGCGTGCCTCGGGTATTCGGTAATGAGCTTGTCACAGACGTCTCCAAGTCCGCATTGGGAATTTCCCCAGAATTCTTGACACTGCCAATAACACAATTAGTTTTCAGCCTCAACGGTTAACGACTCAGATCGCCGAGTTTACAACTGCAACTGGTTTTTGGCATTGCGTGTTGCAGACAACGACAGCAACAACAGCAACAACAACCACTGCAACAGTTGTAGGAAACACAATTACCGTTGCACTTGGCTGGCAACGGCAAGCAGAGGACTTTGACTGACTTTGGCTGATGCGTTGTTTACATAATCGGAGAGAAAAATAAATGGTATGATGGTCTAATAATAAAATAATTAAAATAATAAGAAGTAATAACAGTATAACAACAAATATTATTGGCACAATAATGAGAAAATGGTCTAACAACTGGTTGCTCAGAAGATTGTATTCTATATAAACACAGATATGGATA